ACCAGGAGTTAGTAGATGGGGAGAGAATATATGTGGATGGCTCTTCTCGGGAATCCAGGGGAATCGTAAATCAGGGTATGCTTTAGTAAATGGAAAAACTTTGAAAGTAATAGAGTCTGGACACTTAAACAAATCCTGGTCAGCGCAGGCCTGTGAATTGTATGCGGTAATGAGGGCATTAAAACTTTAAAAAGGAAAAGTAGGAACAATTTATACGGATTCAAAATACGCCTTCGGGGTAGTACACACATTTGGGATGATTTGGGAAGAAAGGGGTTTAATTAATTCTCAAGGAAAAGGGCTGGTACATGAGGAATTGATAAAACAGGCTTTAGAAACTTTAAGGGAACCTCAACAAATTGCAATAGTGCATGTAAAAGGACACCAGAAAGGAACCTCTGATCAGATTAGGGGAAATAACCTTACTGATGAGGAAGCGAAAAGGGCTGCTCTCTTGATCTTACATCAAATTGAGCCTAACCCTGATAAGCAAAAAGAAGTTCCCAACCCTTACCCAAATCTGACCTTTAGGAAGCAAGAACAGGAAAAATTGAAACAGGAAGGAATTAAAGAGGAGGAGGGAATTTGGATTCTGCCTGACAGGCGGGAAGTGGTACCCAAAGCCCTAGTTTGGAAAATCTTACGAGAACTACATAAGAAAACCCACTGGTCAGTGTAAGCTTTGGTGGATCAATTTGCCACCAAATACATGTGTATAGGAGTTTATAATCTTGCAAAGAGGATTATAGAAACCTGCATAATTTGCCAGAAAGTTAACAAACGAAGTTTGCGCGAAAAAGTACAAGGGGGAAGAGAATTAGCCCTTAGGCCGTTTGCAAAAATCCAGATAGATTTCACAGAACTTCCCAAGGTGGGAAATATAAATACCTGTTAGTCATGGTGGACCACTTTACACATTATGTGAAGCTTTCCCAACTGCTAGGGCCACAGCCCAGACAGTAGTGAAAGCCTTGCTTGATCATATTGTTCCTCGGTATGGAATAATAGAAGTGATAGATTCAGACCGAGGTCCCCATTTTGTATCCAAGACAGTTAAAGAAGTTTTAGCCTCTATGGGAACGAAGTGGGAATATCACACTCCATACCACCCTCACAGCTCAGGCAAGGTAGAAAGGATGAATGGAGAAATAAAGAAACAACTAAACAAATTAATGCTAGAAACAAAAATGTCTTGGGTAAAATGTTTACTGTTAGCTTTATTAAATATTAGAACCCAACCTAGAAGTGACACTGGAATTTCACCTATTGAAATGTTATATGGGATGCCTTATGACCTAGAAATCCCATCTGATCACCCAATATTAGAAGACCAATACCTTCTTGAATATATTTGTGGGCTCATGAAAAGGCGAGTAGAGCTTCGAAAAAAGGAACTTATAACTCAGAGATCCCCTTTACAAATGGCGATACATAACATTAGCCCAGGGGATTCAGTCCTTATTAAAACTTGGAAAGAAGCATCACTAACCCATAAATGGGAGGGCCCGTTTCTCGTTTTACTTACTACAGACTCTGCCATATGGACCGCTGAAAGAGGTTGGATCCATGCAAGCTGAGTGAAAGGACCTCTAAAAACTGAAACCTGGGAATCAACACCCCTCCCTGATGGACTGAAACTGCAGATTAAAAAGAAAAACGGTCCTCAGTAAGTAAAATGGAACTGTGCCCAAGCGTGGCGGAAATTCCACCTGACTGGAACCTCCAGGCTTATAGCCCAGAGTACCTATCCAGACTGCAGAGATGGTTTCAGATAAACCTACAAATTGATAAATTACGAGAAACAGTGTATGCACCCTGGAGACGTGAGAGAATTCCTGCACAAAGTGGAGGTTCTGGTCTGTACTGACTGGTAACCTCGGGACAGGTGTTTGCTTTTTGTTGAGACTTAGAAAAAGACGTTCCTCCTAGCTCCACACTAGGACACGTACATGTGATCCCATGCATTAAGCATCCCACATATGATCATGCGAGCTGGGTAGTATGTCAATGTATAGCATGTCAGGACACTTGGTGCTGTCTTTCTCGGAAACGACAGCCTGAATGCCCTGTGTGTAGACAAGTTATAGCTGACATCATAGCCGACAGATCTGCACACCAAAGACTAGAATTAACTAAGATCTACCAGGTTTTCTGTGGGTGGGAATTATTTCTCCCAGAGCTGTGGGAGTTTGAAGAAGCCCAATGGCACAAAACATTAGAACGGTGTAAAGGATTTAGGTGGAAAAACAGATCTCAACAACGACTTACCTATAAAAAGTGACCAATATCAGAACAGTTGGTGGGCTCATTAACCAAATCCAAATAAAAGGGTGAGTCTCAAGTAGAAGGTATAACTAGCCCAATACAGGTACCCTGTTGTGCCTCGCCCTTGAGTAAAAAGATCGTAACTGGGAGGCATCCTGCAGAAGGAACAAGGCTACTCCTGAAGAACACTGCTACCGAGAAGATGAAATACCAAGCAAAGGGGTAGGCAAAGGAGGCAGAGGGGTGAAAGAGAGTGGAGAACCAAGAGCCTTAAGTTCCTTGAGAAAAACCCCCAGAGAACCTCGAAAATGGGCTGCACGACTACCTGTCTGGCAATTAAGCAGTAGAAACTGCGCCATTACCCAATTTCAACTGATAATGATTTGGAGCCCTCCAACTCTTCTGAAGTATGTGATTTTATTTTGGCTCTATTATCCTATTTGTGCAAATCCTCACCAGCCTTATAAATGGCCTTTAATAAGGTGGCAAGACCAAAAGGTTCTCAAGAGCCAGGAGGTGGCAGGGGGTCCCAGTTTCACAGCCTACCTCTGTGACCTGGTACCAATAACACCCTGCCTCAACTTGAGAGCGTTTTACTTTTGCCCTAGCTCAAACCCAGGTAAAGGGTATTGTAATTGGCCTGGTCATTATTTTTGTGCGTATTGGGGGTGCGAAACTATAGCCTCTGACTGGAATCTTGGGGGTGCAAAAGATCAATTTCTACAAGTAGGATGGGGTCCCACAGGATGTCAACCCCCAAAATATGATTCTATTGGAGGACTAAAACATGGGAAAGTAACCTGTCAGTATGTTTTCCTTAATATCACATGCCCTGATGACCCCGGGTGGACTATAGGGAAAACACGGGGAATGAGGTATTGGGAACCCAATACTGACCGAGGAGGATTAATCCTAATAAAAAAGGAACCGATCCCCAGTTCACCCCAGGCCATAGGACCAAACCTCATAGTAAAGGGCCCCTCATCCCAGGGGAAGAAAGAGAGTCAGTCAAATATGACCATTATTCCTACAATGGAACTGGCCATCTCCCCTACTCCTGCGATGCCCGATTCCTTATGAAGAGTAATGCAAGCTAGCTATGTTACACTGAATGCTACCAATCCTGAGTTGACTACCCATTGCTGGCTGTGCTATGATATACAGCCCCCCTATTATGAAGCTATTGGCACACAAATGCCCTATAATAGGACCAGCGAGAATAACCCTCCACTTTGTAATTGGGGTGATAGGAAAAAAGGAATCACCATGCAGCATGTAAGAGGGACGGGTATATGTATAGGAAAAGTTTCCAGAAGAAAAAAGAATTTATGCAATGAAACAGTGGAAGACTCCAGCTCAGGGCAGGATAAGTGGATTATTCCGACAGAAGGGGCTAGATGGATTTGTTCCAAAATAGGACTAACACCTTGTATATCTTTGGACATATTTAATAGATCGAGCGAATATTGCATCCAAGTAATTGTAGTACCAAAGATACTGTATCACTCAGAATCCAGTGCTTATGATCAGATAGAGAATACCAGTATTAGAATAAATAAACGGGAGCCTATTTCAGCAATCACAATAGCCACGCTCTTGGGAATTGGGGCTGCAGGAGCTGGAACAGGGGTAGCATCTTTAAGTGCAACAGCAACAAGGGTTAATGAGTCTACATACTGCTGTAGATGAAGACTTGGAGAGGATTGAAAAGTCCATATCAGCCTTAGAAAAATCCCTCACCTCGCTATCAGAGGTGGTTTTACAAAATAAAAGAGGAATGGATTTATTATTCTTACAACAAGGGGGATTATGTGTGGCCCTAGGAGAGGAATGTTGTTTTTATGCCGATCATACCGGAATTGTTCGGGATACTATGACAAAACTCCGGGAGGGACTCGGAAAACGAAAACGAGAACGAGAGCAACAACAAAGTTGGTACGAGTCCTGGTTTACACATTCCCCTTGGTTAACCACACTCCTTTCAACAATAGCAGGACCTTTGATTTTATTGATCCTAGGATTGACCTTTGGACCCTGTATTTTTAATAAAGTAATTGGGATAGTAAAAGGGAGGTTGGAAGCAGCTCACCTGCTGCTAGTAAGACAGCAATACCGACACATAAGAGGGGATGAAAACGAAGATACCCTTGTACTAGAATTGGCAAAAGAAGCTGTAAGAAAATTTGATGAACAAAATGAGAAAAATAAAAAGGGGGGATTGTAATAGAAGACATATGGTATTTGTTAATCAAATTTTATGCTGTGCTAGTAACAAAGCTGAAGTTGCTTAAACCACAATATCCTGTTAAGCAAACATGTACCATAGCATTACCATAAAAGGACACTTATATAACTATATCTGGGTGCGCCTCAGCAAGATCACCTAAGCAAAGAGAGGACAACGCAGAGGAAGATTACCAGCCTTCATCCCCCGACCACCAGGAGGCATGAGGAGACCCCTCAGCAACAACTGGCGCAAGCGCAGTTCGAGATATGGAACTGACACGTCAACCCGGAACTAAACTTCAATAAAAAGGGACTGTTGGGGGAAGAAAGCGCGCGCCGTTGGTAGAGCAAAGACTCCCCGGCTGCCCAGCGCTGCTTTGCTTGCTCAGCCACTTGCTAATTTTAATAAATTTTATGAGTCTCTTAAATTGACTCCTGCATTTATTACCTCAATCTATAACAGTTGCATTATTGGTTTAAAACTGAATAATAATACCTGGCTTGTCCAATCAGAGAAATAGCCTTCCCCTTTCTTCCAGTCTGGACCTATCTTCTTCCACAGAGAAGCCAGTGAAGGCTTTGCTTGCAGGAGCTTTTGGGTCTGGACTGGTACAAGCTAGCAAAAACATACCTAATGTAAAACAAGGAAGAGGGATGCAGTTTATCCTCACAATTATCAGACAGATAATTTTTAGCTATATCTTTTATGTTTTATGTGCACTTCTACCATCTAATAAATTCTGTCTGTAAATTAAACCCACTTTTTCCTTGCCTCACCCAAAAATAAGCTGAGAGGGAGAGACAGGGAGGAAGTTTCAAAGACTCAGGATTTCATTAAATGTAAGAAAATTACTGCAGATCAACATGCAAAGATTCTCCACCATTTCCATGTATTGTCAGTCTTTATGACATTAGAAGCTTCATGAATAGTACAAAAGAAACCTATTTACAGCACAAACATAAAAATGCTTAGGAAATGCATTTTTGCATGCAAAATGTTATCACCTGATTTCAAAGATCCTAATTTTATTCTTCGGAGTTGTAAATATGTGTTTTTCTTAGAAATGAAACATCTGTAAATCACATTTATGGTGTTCAATGATGTCAAAAGATATCTGGCAGGTTGTCTTTGATGGATTTGAACGAGGAAATAAATAACTAGAAAATTCAGCCTTTGGATAAATATATGAAGTTTTTCTAATTGAATTCAGAAGAATTTGTATGTTGTGAATTGGTGTGATGCACAACATGATGAAAGGGGTTTATATCATTGTTGCAGGTTAGGGCTGGGCCAGCCGCTAACACGGACAGACGCTCTCTAACTCCCTCTTCCCCCCCAAAACGGGAAGGAAAAGGGAATGAAGGAGAGAGACTTAGGGGCTGGAAAAGAAAAACTAGAACAGCTTTAATGAAACAGTAATAGAAATAATAGTGAAATAATAAAAGTAAAGAACTATGTCCAGCTGTAGATAGTAGCCCAATATCAAACCTGACTCCCTTCCCAGATATCAATCCCCACTGATGCTGCAGAGCAGGCGGCACTGGGGAAGCCCCAGGCTCAGCGGCGGCAGGAGCTGGATTCAGGGAGCTGGATTCAGGAACTCAGGATCCGGATCAGAAGCAGGAGGTCAGATGGAGTTGTCCCTGGACACCGGCCATTGCAGAAAAGGGACGAAACTCTCATGATCACTCAGTTTATACTAAATATGACGTATATGGAATGGAATACTCTCGTTGGTCACCTGTCCTGTCTATTACCCCCCAGAGGTGCGACCTTTTACTTCCTTGTGACCCCCCTTTACTACCCAGCACCCCCAGCGTGGCACACAGAGCCAGCAGTGGCCTTGGTCACTGTAGGAATAAGTATTAGCAAGAGCCTTTCTGCATCCCAGTGCCAGGCAGTGACTGCAAACATCAGGTGTTACTACTGCTAGTAGCAGGCACTGTCTGCAAAAACACGGTGCTGACTTCAGAAAGTGCAGCTCTTTAGACGAGACAAAACTGGAAAGTAAAAATCATTAAACAGAACTGGGTTTTTAGCTAAACCCAGGACAATCATAAAGCACATTGCATAGACACCGCAGCAACATGTGGATTCTTTGACAGCTGGAAAATGTCTTCCCTTCAGAAAACAAAATGTAATGCCACAATCCAACTGCGCTTCTGGCTTCAGTAGAAGCAAAAGGGTCTTCTAGTAGTATTAGAAGGAACTGATCTCAGTCACCACAACTACAAAGCTAAGTAGCTATGTACTAGTATGAACCTCTTGGGCAGTTTGCAAGTTAAATCATACTTCTGCTGTCCAGCCCTAAAGAAAAAGCAGAATTAACTTTGTAGCAGCAAGATGCAAGAGGCCTTCCTGAGTGAGGAGGGTGTCATGTCAGCACTTGTTTTTCTTTTCAGGCTTTGCATAGCACTGAGACTGCAGCCTTATATACTGTTCTCATAATCTGGTCAGAGAATGAAGTGTGTGTTGAAACATTATGAAAATTCAGATTTATGACATCTCTTTACAGAATTAACTTGGGGGGGAGGGGGAAGCCACTCTTTAACATAACAACAGAAAATACTATGAGTTAACAGGCAACACACCAGTTTGCTTTCCCACCATTTAAGATCCACATCTTCAGACGATTAATAACAATTTCATCTCCTTTCTTTTAGCCTTTGTTTTTACACCAGCCACATCAGAGCCTGCTTCGGGCTCTGTTACAGAGTAAGCCTAGAAGAAAATAAGATGCAAAATCTTGAGGAATAAAAGTCCTATTTTCAGGCAGTCACAAGTTATTGCAGACGATGTGCATCAGAGTGATCTATAAAAGGCTTAAGTGAACTGCATGTTAAAATACAAAACATTAAAAAAAACCCAAACCAACCAATCAGCCAAACCAACCCAACCTAAAAAAACCCACAACAGCTGTATGAGCAAAAATCCAAACATATATGGGTTCATTTTGTTTATAAATCCATAGTAATACATAAAATTGTCTTTTAATCAAACAGAACAGTTCTGTAACCCTTAAGTCATTGCCTTCTCAGGCTTCACAAACTCTGGTGTGAAAGCTGAGTATGATTATATGATCTTTAGAATCTGAAAAAAAAGAGCAATATTTACTGTGTCTTTCATTTTATGAGGCTTAGCTGCTCAAATATGAATGTGTTGCACATGAATCATTACTTCTTTCTATGTAATGAGTACTGCTTATATAATATTTAAGATTACAAATAGAGTTTAATTCCCATCCCAGTTGAATTTCTCCTTATAGAAACCTCATAATTTTCCTAAACACCTAAAACTCCCCTCTTGAAAGAGAAATAAAAGGTATTAAATTTTGCAAGTGACTTAGGATAGGGACAATATTCCAAGCAATATCTTGTATTTACTTACTGAATGTATCTTATTAGCCATTTCCTGACTTTCAGTAAATGCCACTGTTTATTTACAAACCAAAGTGGGCTAAGTTGTGAGTATGTTAGTGTTTTCTGGGAAAAGAAAAAAGAAGAGAGAGGGAGAGGGAGAGGAGAAAGGAGAATTATATGATTTAGAAATGTTCCACGGTGTAGCACTTAAACACATCATTGGTTCCTCTGTCATTCTTCCTAAGTATTTCTTCTGCTCATGCTCATTTCCTGCAATAATCACTGGCATTTTCTGAAATAAAAAAATTGACAGGATGGATTAATGGTCTAAAATGGACAGATTCTAGTTTAAGGGATGTAAGAAAAGACAGAACTTAGCCCTAGGGAATTTGCTTCAATGGCAGTTTGAGCCCCTGTACATCCATAAGCTAACTCCTCCGTAATAAGGTACACTTCAAAAGTGCCAAGGCCAAAACCACTTACAGTTTAAATATTTAATTTACTAAAGTGTGTTTAAATTGCAACATATTAGCGACATACACAAATTAATTCACAAAAACATATTCTCCCACATACATTTGACTGTGTACCATGTTTGATTAGACATTCTCATGCAAGCTTATTTAAATTAATTTTTGACAGAAGAGTAACAAAGGATTTGAAAATTACATATCGCAGTTCCAGGGTTATTGTGGGATTAATGTGGGACAAGTTGCAATGAATTTAAGAGGCAAGATTTCCTTTTACCCTTCTCAAGCATATCCTATTTGTCTGTGTCTGCTATTCTTATACTTCATCTTACTTGCTCTTACCTTACATGGTGTATCAGGCTTAATATGTTTTACCAAATCTCCCTTGGAGACCTTTTAAAGCAATGGTGTCCAGTTTACCACTTGTCATTTCTCATTTCATAACCATGTGATTATACCCTGCAGTAGTCCAGCTCTTTCAGCCTTTATTTTCTCTAGAATTTGTGGCTGAATAAATCTAGCCCTCACAACTGCTTCTTTTGCCTCTCTGTTTCTTGACCTCATTTATTAAATTTTTGATACAAGATGTACCCTCTGATTAGTCTTCAAAAGAAAAAGGCCTGCTACAGACACGTCCCTAGCTTCTTTTTTCCGGTAATATAGACAAACAAACAGAAAAAATAATTTAACAGTTTTTCCACGATGGGCCACCTTGTATAGACTGTGCTTTTCCAACAAAAGCTGGGCCAGATGAACCTTGAGGTCCCTTCCAACCTGATATTCTATGACTTTGTGATTACATGATTACTCATATACTTAAAGACTGTCACAGCACTGCTGTACTGCACCTAATCTAAATGGGAAAACTGTCCTTCTGGAATAAACTCTTAAATTGCTACAGCCTTTGTCAGAGACTAGAACAAAATGTGACCTTCTAATTTCTCTGCCTAATCAGCCAACGCAGTGCGCCACGGGAACATAAGGCAGTTGTAATCACAGTAGGAAAATCTGGTCATAAATTACTAAATCGTAAGCTGTCTAATTTGTCTCCTGATTACATCCACACCTAGTAAGGCTTCTATGTGTCAACGTGCCTATTGATTAAATTTAGATTATTCAAGTATGCAACTGTTTATCTTATACAGAATCCACAATCACACATATAAAACTCATCTAATGCCTTTTCTTTGTTTCATTTTATAGATTAAAAAGAATGCTTACTTACCACAGCTTTCTGGTATGTGTGAATTCATAAGACCAAGTTCCCAAGCCTGTGTTATAAGTGGAAGAGGATACTGAAAAAGACAGGGAACAAAATCACTCAGTCGTCACAATCAACATTTCAAATTTTGTGCAGGTTAAGATAAAAGCCTACTTTTTCCTTTACACCATGGTAGATTTACCTCTCCAGTTTTGTCATATTGTGCAGCGACAGGAATAATTTCTTCCACAGCAAACTTATGAGCAGTAGCTTGAAACTCTCTCGGTTAATCAATAAGTTCTATTAAAAATTAAAAAAAAAGAAAAAATCACAAAGTTTCTGCTATTTTCATTCTGCCAGTTGTCAGACTATGAGAAACGAAGAAAATGAGAGTGTCCTTTATGGACAACCCAAACCACCACTTCCTCTCCAGGAAGCAAAAAGCCTCAGCTTCTTCTTCCTCCTGAGAGAAAACCTCCATTGTTCTTTCAACACCTACAATGCACTTACTTCGGACAATATTATCCACAAAATATTGAAAACGAAGTGGAGAGGTTCATGTAACATGAAATGCATTACCAAAAGAAACAAGACCAATGCTGTGCAAATTAAATGGAGGAAGAGAAGGAGGTAGATTTTGTCCAAAGATCCTGGCTTCTCAGATTCAGTCATCTAGCTGCTGTCCCACTAAATTTTTTTTACGTATTTAATGTCACAAGATGAGGATGAATTTCTGTAAGACATTTCTTTATAACCATGTTCAACTATGACTGCATTTAGTTACTTTAACATTGTAAATGGCCATGTGAGGTAATTATTCAAAGACACTTTGGCAGTAAAAATGTTTAAGACAGACATGAGTTAAAAAAAGAAGAAAATACATGATTTGCCCGAGTTAAAGAAGAAAGTAATTTTGGGTTTCAAACTTTTTTTCCCAGATGACTAGAAATGTATCTAGAATAAACACCTTCATGTTAAATTCACATTGAATGCAATATTTTTTAACTCTGCAATTAGCCCTTAATTGCTATATTTCTTTCAAAAGCTGTTATATTTACTTACCAAAGCTAAAGCCAGCTCCATGTCTGCCTAGATGTAAATTTTGAGCAGGTGTACTAGCATGCGACCTCCATCCATGCCCTGCAACAGTCTGATGCATTTGCTGAAGAGAAAAAGCAGCAGAAGTAAGATCTTTACAGGTCAAGTCTCCTAAAGCTACTAGCCCAACTACAACACAACTTTAAAAGTAGAATCCCTCTTTATCAAAAAATAGATAGAATAGATAGAAAAAATAGTAGAATCCCTCTTTATCAAAAAATAGATAGAATAGATTAAAAAAATAATAGAATCCCTCTTTATAAAAAAATAAGGATAATACAAGGATAAAACAATTACTACAGCAATAGAAGAATTCCTGGCTACCTTAAGTTCTGTTCCTGTGGCAGGCAGTGTTCACACGAACTGACAGCTACACCAGGAATCTCAGGCTTTAACCTATTAACCGGTATCTATCAGCATATTTTGATAATGTCCCAGAGTCGAGTCTGCTTTCTCCTAATAAGCTGCTGCTGTGGACACTTGGTAATTATTGTCATTATGCTCCAAACAGGATAGAATTCAGCTGACTTCATAAGTTTATTTTTCTTCCTCGTACTTAAATTTATTCTTTTCCATTGTAAGTGATTTCTTTGCTTTTTTAAGTTTACTGCCTACAAATATGATTGTTACAGCTATTTCCAGAATGCCTTAATGATGTACAAAAATGTATCTGAATTTGATTTTAAAAGGTTGATTTGCTCTTTTTTTTTTTTTTTTGGTCATTCAGTAGTTATAAATCTGTGAAATGTTTTGGGAAAAAAGGTGAAAAATATTTAACTGGATAAATTTCTGGAAAGACCCAAATCAATACTGTGCGAAAACACTAAGAATGGCTTTTTCTTAATTTTCTTGTGAAAATTTGGAAAGTTAAAAAAAAAATCTTCAAAGCAGTCGCTTATTTCAGAACATTAAAAAATTGAATTAATCATAATAGTGCAAAAAATTTCACAGAAATTTTACTGGAAACTCTAGAAGACAAGGATATTATAGAAAGTTGCAAGCCACAAACATTATGTTACTCCTACCATTCTGACACAGAAAAATAAACCAAACAATACCAACAAACATCTAAAAAGACACCAATTCCTCCAGAACGTTTTATACCTTATTTTATCTGGAAAAAGACAAGATGAGGTTGAAAGAACCTCATAATTGTATTATTTTTTTCTTTCTTTCTTTTTTTTTTTAAAGGAGCGGCTCTTGATAGAGTCATACATGGCTTTGCTACCAAGAAGTTTTGCCTACACTAGCAAAAGTGCTGACCCTAATGCTAAAAGCAGTACCCCATATGAAAGAAGCTGTCAGATTTATACTAGAGAACTTACGTCTATTGTGTTTTCTGTACTACAGTAGTATACAAGGTCACCACTGGAGGTTAGTTTGGGAAAACTCAACACATCCCCACAAAGAGAAATATGAATTGGACAGGTGCGGTTCATACCTGGAAGCTTCATGAGTGATCAGGTGACAACAGATCACGGTTTGCTACACGTCAGAATCTGGATGACCATCCATCTCCTCTGTCAACTTGACTGTTGCTTGGCTCCGAGAAACAGCTCATTTCAACGAAAAGCTGCTCCTGGTGGTGCTCAGATGCAGCTCCTACTGCCTGGCCTTGTGCTGCTGCACGAGCTCCATCACAATCAGAAATACGAGCTTGTGATCAGCAAGACTAATGCTGGAATAACCTGCTGTTTGTTCCCGCAGTGAAGTGTCAGGAGGCTGAACTTGAAATACGAGTGCCCTACGGCGTGCACTATTAACTAAGTGTTGGCTTCCCTTGCCTAAAGCATTACTTTTGATCTATAAAACATTGCCTTCAGATGAGACTTTTTCCCCTCACAGACACTGTTACAGCAACACTCTTGGCACACTGCCCACAGGCTGTATCACCTGGGGCACGGTAACATCGCTGCCTTGAGGCTCTGCCGAGGGGCCCTTTGGCCAGCTCAGGCTCACAAAGAGCTCGGGGAGCAGGGACACCAGAAGAAGGCCTGGGTGAACATGCTGTCTAAGTTTTGAGTGCTTTCCAGCCTCTAGTTTGAAGCTAGGAGGTTATTGGAGGTTCAATGTAGCTAGGAGAACGCCAGCACTTTAGAAGAACAACTACTACGCATCACACGTATTAAAAACATTAGCATAGGTAGCACAGCTAGGGATGTGGCAGGAAAGGCTTTATATAAAGTACCCCGAACGCTAAGCCCGCATGTTTTGCCTCCACTATTTAAGTGTGAGGCAGGAGGTGCCAGACACACACAGGATTTTTCTAAAGACTTTGCCTTTGCCGCAAGTGCCCACGCCCGGTCACACCGTGAAGATCGAGGTAACAGGGGTAACAACGGGGAGACAGAAAAAAACGAGCAGCAAGCA